TCTTCTGCTCCACCGACAAGCGGCCAACCATCTCGCCAGCAATCGGCGACAACTCCAGCAACTCCAACGTCTCGTTCACCAGGTTCATGCGCTCCTCCTCAGAGAACGTCGGCGGCAGGCGAAGGTTCGCCGAGAACACCAGCGCCTCGTAGATCGTCGCGGCCTCCGAGTGAATGTCCATCTGCTCGCAGTAAGCCGTGATGCGGCTGAAGTTAGCCGGGTTCTTCGGCTCACCGTTCACGATGATGTCGCCCACAATGCGTCCGCCAGTCTTACGGCCGGCAATCACGTCCATCAGCGTCGTCTTACCGGCACCGGTGGCGCCCATGAGCGCCACCATGCGGCCCGGCTCGAAGTGCGCCGTGATGCCGCGCAGGAGCTGCTTCTCCTCACCCGACGGCAGCGTCACGAAATACTCCAGGTCCTTGATGCACAGGTTAGACGGCGTGAACGGGAGACCCGCACCGCGCGCCTTCGTCTGTACGACGTCGCCCGCACCAGGCGTGCGCACCTCCACATACACGTTGTCCTCCTCGCTCGAGTTGTCTGTCATCGCCTTGACGCTCACGCCCTTGTACTTCTCGTAGCGGATGAAGTGAAGTGCCAGACCGTTTAGCGTCGTGAAGAACAGGTAGTAGGCCAACAGAATGCCGATGCCGAACCAGACGTACTCCGTGCCCTGCGAGATCGAGAAGCTGTCGAGGAACTTCTGACTCTGCGCAGGCGAGTAGCGGTCGCTCGAGAACTCCGACAGCATGTTGCTGCGCAGCGCCCAGGCCAGCGGGTTGAACCAGTACATCCAGATCCAGTAGTCCGGGATCAGGTCCGCCAGGATGATGTTGCCCGAGAACAGCAAGAAGAAGCTCACCGAGATACCTGCCAGCGCCTGGCCCACCGTGATACTCGGAGACAGCGAGCTCAGCATCGTCATGTAGGCGCCGATCGCGTGCTGGAAGCACACGAGCACCAGGAAGAACACGATGTACTTCTCGAACGTGCGCGTCAACCCGCTCATGAAGTAGAAGAACGTGCCCAGGATGAACGACACCGACAGGTTCACCGGAATCTGCACCACGGTCTCCGCGATCGCGTACGACATCGTCCGGAAGAAATTGCGAGGACGCTGCTTGTAGAACACGCCTCGCAGCTGGAACGAAATCGTAATCTGCTGCCACGCCTGACGCTGGAACAGCGCGATGCTGAAGAAGATCATGCGCAGGTAGTACGTCGAGCTCACGTTGAAGTAGATCATGCCGAGCACGAGACCAACGATCAGCGCCTCGAACAGCTTGCCCCACAGCAACGGAGGATCGCGCAGCCAGATCAACTTCTGCCGGTTCAGCAGCAGCAGCGTGCTCGGAATGAACGCAAGTCCGAACTCCGACTTCTGCTTCGAACGGGCCAAGTTGGCCACGCTTTTAGCCTTCTGAAAGTCCTCCGCGTTCTCGAACTGGTGCTCGTTGAAACCCTTGCTGATGGCCTCGTGCGTCTTCTTGTAAATGCTGGACTGGCAGAAGAGGTTGTTGAAGTCCTCCGACGTCACGGCCAAGTCCCGCTTCTCCACCCTGCCGTTCGCGTAGCGGTGGCCACGCCCCGACGTGACCTCGATCAGGAAGTCGGCCGGATCCACGCGCGGAGGACAGCTGAAGCCGCGCTCCTCGAAGTAGTCCAAGATCTCCGTCCTCGGGCCGTGGTACACCATGTGGCCCTCGTTGACCATCAGGATGTCGTCGAACTGCTCCACCACCTCGGGCGTCGGCTGCAGCAGCGCCACGATCACCGACCCGCCCAGCGTCTTGCACCAGGTACGAAGCGCCTTGATGATGTCGAACGTAGCAGCGCTGTCCAGGCCCGTAGAGATCTCGTCACACAGGAACAGGCTCTGGCCACCGACCAGCACCTCACCCACAGTCACGCGCTTGCGTTCGCCACCACTCACACCTCGCAGCAGCGCGTTGCCCACCACCGTATCGGCGCAGCTCTCCAGACCCAAAATCTGTAGGAACAGCTCCGTGCGCAGCGCAGCGATCTCTCTCATCTCCTCCGGTTGGTCCTCCGGCCGGCCGTTGACGCACAGGTCGGCGAACTTGAACGTCTCGCGCACCGTCAGCGTCGGGATGTGGTTGTCCGTTTGGTCGACCAGACCCACGAGCTTGATGAGATCAATCTCCTCGCCACGAAGACCCGAGTACAGGATCTGGCCGCTGATCTCCGTCTGCTTGTTGTCCTGCAGCTTGCCGGCCAAAGCCTTCAGGAACGTCGACTTGCCGGCGCCAGGGTTGGCCAGGATCAGCGTCATGGAGCCAGGCTTGATGATGCCGCTCATCGGGTGCAGCGCGTGCTTGGTGGTCATGGGCACCTTCTGCCACGGCGTGAAGATGGAGGCCAGGTGCGACCCCACTGTGCCGTAAGCGCCAGCTTCAGCCGGAACCTGCACCGAGAAGGACAGGTTCTCGAAGCGCACCTCGGGCGTCGGCAGCTGCAGGTTGATCTTGCGCGACAGGTGGTTGTACTTCTTGTAGAAGCGCTCGAGGCCGCCGTTGAGCATCGTCTCGAGGTTGTCAGCCCGCAGCGTACTGTACCGACTGACCATGGTGTCACCGCCGCGGTTCGAGTACGGGTCCTGCAGACTGCGGAAGTTGAGCGAGCGGTACACGCCGGGGACCTCTTCGCCAGCATCGTTCGCCTCTGGTTGCAGCAGACTCATCTTGGACGTCGACTCCGTCGGGATGATCGAGGCAAAGGAGACGAACTGGTTGACAGGTAGAGAGAGGTGTCGCGGCGGGTGGGTCGTTCGGCTGGGTGGTGAGCCGAACGGGGCGGGTGGGTCCTCGGTCGGCCGAGGGGAATCCGGGAGTGAGGATTTCAAGGAGCTGTCGAGCGCGCGGTTAACTCTCAAGCCGTGTAGGTCGAGGTCGACTGGGTCTACCCGCACCCCGCTGTCAGAAGGAGGGACGGAGAGCATTCGTCCTGGTATCTTTGGTCTCATTGGCGCGCGAGTGTTTCCCGCGGCAGTCTTATGATGCCATCTGCGAAACTCGTTTTAAGTGAGGTTTCATTTCAGTCTTTTAGGCTACATAGCTAACGACCAAGAATATGTCCGTCCATCGTTGCCATCTGCGAAATATCTTTGCCTCACAGCTTAAGTACCTAGAAGCATGCAAGTAAGACGCTGGAGGGCAGAGGCGGCTTTCCTACTGTCGGATGTTTAGCATTAAGCCACCAGATTTCATCTCTGATGCAACCAAACCGGTCTGCTAGTCTTGAGTCAATCTCTGGGTAACGTAGCGGCGGTGGTGACGCTGCTGGCGGGCGGGATCTTCTTCCAGTTCGCTGGATCAAGCCTGCGTAGAAATTCGGGTTGGTGGTACCCGCATATTGGGATCCGCCTCGTTCTAGCTAGAACCGAGTCCGAGGACCGCGATGCTGCCGTGCTCTATCTAATCCGATACTGTGGTGTTCATGCAAACAACATTCGAGTTACCACGCGTACACGGCCATTGTTGGAGTGGCTTCTTAACAACCAGTGTTCAATCAGAATGTCACTAGTAGCAGTGATAATCTCACTGATACTAATATAATTATTAAAATATCATCGTCTCTGAGCCAATATCAGTGATAGAATTAATATTCGCAAAAATCACGACTACCAGTCCGTTCCAGATCTACTGGAGGTTTGAGCACGTTTGGCTCGCAATTGGTTAAAAATAGTTGTATGCCCGTGTGATTGGTAGTAATGCAACCGCCTGCTCATAGCGGTTTGACTGATGTGCAGAGCTCCGCACAGCTCGAAAAATTGGCGCCAGGGGAAGCGCTTAAGCTCCAATGATGCTTTCATCGATGAAGAAGCCACCACTGCCATTAACGATTTCGCCCCTCCCCGACCAAGCACCCACCTACCAAACCCAACAAGCTACTCGATGTCGCACCCCAACAAGACCTCGCACCCCAAGACCAAGCACCTTTCGGACGCGGAACGTGCCCTCGTGGTGTCGGCCCTCCTCAACCGAGCGACAGTCGGTGCCCTACCGCGTGGTGCGCTGTCTGCTGCTGCAGACACCTTCGGGGTCAGCGCTCAGACCATCAGCCGTGTCTGGCGCTGGGCCCTGGGCAACTTTCAACGCACCGGGGTGTACGCATCGCCCACAAGAATGCGCAGCACTGGGCGCAGACGTGTCGACCGTTCCCGCGAGCTGGAGCGCCTCCGCGCGGTCGATCCGGTGCGCCGGAGCACCATCCGTGCAGCCGCTCAAGTCTGTTTCCTACGCTGTTCCGACAGGTGAGCATCGGGAAGCTCCGTGTGGAGACGTCCGTTGCCAAGCCCATGCTGTCGGACGACAACAAGAAGTCGAGGATTGCATCTAGTGTGGGGCACGTAAGTGCAGCAACGCATCATTTCAGTGACATGGAAGATGTAGTCCACGTGGATGAAAAACTCTTCTATCTCTGCAAGGTGAAGCGTCGCTTCGTGCTTCTACCGGACGAGCCCAAGCCTGTGCATCGACTCAAGAGCAAGCGTCATATTCCCAAGGTGATGATGCTAGCAGCAGTAGCCCGCCCCGCCATGACCCCATCACGGGCAAGTTCTTTGATGGAAAGCTGGGGGTCTGGGCGTTTTTGATACACGAGCCAGCGAAACGAAGCAGCCGCAATCGCCCCGCTGGAACGCTGGTGCCATATCCGGTGGTCGTCAACAAGGAGGCCTACCGCAAGATGCTGGTGGAGCACGTGCTCCCGTCGATCCAAGCAAAGTTTCCGGGTGCGGCGGACGGGAGGCGTGTCACCGTGCAGCAAGACAACGCCTCCCCGCATATCCAGCCAGACGACGTGGCGTGGAGGCAGGCAGTAAACGCCTCCGGGTGCGATGTACACTTGCGGTTCCAACCGCCTAACAGCCCTGATATGAACGTATTGGATCTTGCTGTCTTCAACGCCCTACAGTCGCGACAAGAGCGAATGGCCGCCCACACCCTCGACGACCTGGTGGCCAACGTGAAGGTGGCGCTGGACGAGCTGCCGCCGGCAACACTGGACGCGGGCTTCTTGACGCTCCAATGCGTGATGAACGATTGTGTTGCTGCTTGTGGTGACAACACATTCAAGATTCGACACATTTCGAAGTCGAAGCTTGCGCGGGAGGGACGACTTCCACGGTGCATCAAGTGCTCTGTTACTACTGCCTCATTTCTGCCTCCTCTCGATCGATCTGCAGATCCTAGTCATAGTGAAACTAGTACTAGTATTTTCCTATAGTTTAGGAACAAGCTAAATAGTGGTACATATCGATAGATTTGGAACGGACTGGTAGTAGTAATAACATCACAGATATTTTCAATCGTTTCGCCAGGGCAAATGTTTCACCAGGGCAATTGTTTCACCAGGGCAAATGTCCGACATCCTTCGTCTTCGCGCTTTCGTCGCTAATGCGTCTTTCTCATCTTCCAAAAACACCACCGGCGAAAAGAACGAGATCCATTGTCACCAAGAGACTCCGCGGAGACATCTCCTTGCTATGCCTGCGTCGATCTGCCTGCGTCAGTCACAGCCTTAAACGCTTGCGAAGGCCGATTCCACGCGCGGAGGACAGCTGAAGCCGCGCTCCTCGAAGTAGTCCAGGATCTCCGTCCTCGGGCCGTGGTACACCATGTGGCCCTCGTTGACCATCAGGATGTCGTCGAACTGCTCCACAACCTCGTCACTGAGTAAAGCGAAATCTGCGAGCTGCATCAAGCGGACCAGTTCATATACTTAGCCACCAGCTCCGCTAGTGTTAACTGACCCTGATCGCGCCTTCTTTTATCGTGTGAGATTTGATCTTTGTGAGTATATCGGTAGATCTCAATAGTTTATCAGCACATTGTCGACGGCTATTGGATGCCTTTAAAAAAGCATGCTTCAGAGATTTATAGAAGTCGTGTTTATTAGTACTAGTACCGTCACCATCAAGACAAGCGCATGTCTAGTCTGGTACATAAATCGAAGGGCTAGTGTGGCCTGCGAGATAATTCGCCAGCCTTCCGTCTCCTCTGGACTTGTGTGGGTATCAACGTATAATTTCTCTAAGCCAAAAGCCTGTTTTGGTGAGTGCATCAAGTCCCCGACCCCCCCCCCCCCCTCCCGTTTCAGGCGAGCGAAACCTAAGAGCTGTATCGCTGCATTGATTTCTGCTATGGGCTCGTATCCGGGGTCCTAGGAATATGTCATGAACACAGCGAGGCGAAACAGTCAGTGTACCTGGCTCCTCATCAGGCGCAAGGAAACTGCACTTCTTGTGAATATCAGTGATGATATCACTATTATTGTAATCGCTTGTCGGTAGAGCAGTAGTATCAGTATCAGTGATACTGTAGTAGCTCAGTGCTGAGTATTAGTACCAGTATCACTGATAGTCCAAAAATCCCCACCCTACATACAACCACCTTCTTTATTTGAACATTTTTTATGTTGCGGTGGCCAAGTGCAAAACATGTATTGAGCAAAAGTACTACGTAGGAGTTCAAATCGGAGGGCGTTTTGGCAGAAAGGCACAATAGAGTACACCTTACATTCTAAGCCCGGTGTAAAATTTTTAACAATTGACATTAATACAGTAGCTGAACTGTATTGCGTTAAAAACTCACTCTTGCAAGGACATCACGTCAAAATGTATTACAAACACAGATCCAGCGAGCACCACTATCCTATGCTAAGCATAGCTTGTTCAGTGTCGCCTACTCCATCACTCTATCTCTTGAGGTGGCTCACGTACTTGAACGTGAGGTAGATGGCCACCTGCAGCACGACCCAAATCACCAGCAGACCAGCCATGAAGCTGTACTTGCGCTCAGGACGGAAGTCGTACGTTTTCTCGATGTAGTGCGCCACCGTCATGTTGGTCGTAATGTTGCCCGAAGTCACGGCAATGATGTCCTGGTTGTCGCCGAACTGCACGCCCACCAGCGCCGCAAGAGAGTAGCTCGACGGCATCAGGTACGTGAACCACTTGTAGCCCGCCTTCATCGCTGTGCGCGGCAGCAGGTACCCCGAGAACAGGTTAAACAAGCACGACAGCGCGCCCACAGCCACGTTCGCCACCTTCTCATTCGGCATCAAAGCAGACATCCACTGGCCCACGTACGTGCACGCCGACGTGTACAGATAGAACACAAACATGAAGAAGAAGTAGTCACCCGGACTCGAGCTCCACCCCACCAGCCAGTACTCGATCGTCACAAACAGCACGATCACCACAATCAGGTACGGCACCTCGGCGAACCACAGCGACAGACTGTACGGCAGCGGGCCGTAGTAGTTCGACATCCGCTCGCGGTAGAACACGGCGCGCTCGGCGCACGTCACCTCCAGCACCGTCATGAGGTTGATCACGCCGATGAAGTCCATGCTGTTGTAGATCAAACCAATGTGCGAGTTGATCTTCTTCACGCTGCCCGCCGACAACTGGTAGAACGTCGTGCCGAAGATGATGGCGAACAGCGGGAAGAGGAACATGCGCATGAAATTGTACTGCGGGTTGCGCCAGTACGTGAGCTGCTGCTTCTTGGCCAAGTGTCCGAGCTGGTTCCAGAAACCCGTCGCGATCGGCGTGTAGTTGAGCGTCGAGTGGCACACAAAGTCGCCCGACGCCTTGGCGAGCTCCAGCGTACGCTCGCGGTTCGACCTGCACAGCTCGCTGTTCTTGTACTCCACTGAGTAGTCCTTCACGTCGCGACCGATACCAGCGCCGATCACCTCCAGCATGTACGTGGCCGGGTTGTACTGCGGACGAATCTGCTCCGTGCCCGGAATCGACTCGAAGTACTCCAACATCTTGACCGAGTCCACGCCGAGGTCACCGAAGTACGCCGTGTAGCCACCCTTCTGCAGCAGAAGCAGACCGTCAAACAGCTCGAAGATCGAAATGCTGGGCTGGTGGATCGTGCACAGCACCGTACGGCCCGTGCGGGCGATCGACTGCACACCGCGCATCACGATCAGAGCCGAACGCGCATCCAGACCGCTCGTCGGTTCATCAAGGAACAAAATGCTCGGGTTGGCGACCACCTCCACGCCGATCGTCACGCGCTTCTTCTGCTCCACCGACAAGCGGCCAACCATCTCGCCAGCAATCGGCGACAACTCCAGCAACTCCAACGTCTCGTTCACCAGGTTCATGCGCTCCTCCTCAGAGAACGTCGGCGGCAGGCGAAGGTTCGCCGAGAACACCAGCGCCTCGTAGATCGTCGCGGCCTCCGAGTGAATGTCCATCTGCTCGCAGTAAGCCGTGATGCGGCTGAAGTTAGCCGGGTTCTTCGGCTCACCGTTCACGATGATGTCGCCCACAATGCGTCCGCCAGTCTTACGGCCGGCAATCACGTCCATCAGCGTCGTCTTACCGGCACCGGTGGCGCCCATGAGCGCCACCATGCGGCCCGGCTCGAAGTGCGCCGTGATGCCGCGCAGGAGCTGCTTCTCCTCACCCGACGGCAGCGTCACGAAATACTCCAGGTCCTTGATGCACAGGTTAGACGGCGTGAACGGGAGACCCGCACCGCGCGCCTTCGTCTGTACGACGTCGCCCGCACCAGGCGTGCGCACCTCCACATACACGTTGTCCTCCTCGCTCGAGTTGTCTGTCATCGCCTTGACGCTCACGCCCTTGTACTTCTCGTAGCGGATGAAGTGAAGTGCCAGACCGTTTAGCGTCGTGAAGAACAGGTAGTAGGCCAACAGAATGCCGATGCCGAACCAGACGTACTCCGTGCCCTGCGAGATCGAGAAGCTGTCGAGGAACTTCTGACTCTGCGCAGGCGAGTAGCGGTCGCTCGAGAACTCCGACAGCATGTTGCTGCGCAGCGCCCAGGCCAGCGGGTTGAACCAGTACATCCAGATCCAGTAGTCCGGGATCAGGTCCGCCAGGATGATGTTGCCCGAGAACAGCAAGAAGAAGCTCACCGAGATACCTGCCAGCGCCTGGCCCACCGTGATACTCGGAGACAGCGAGCTCAGCATCGTCATGTAGGCGCCGATCGCGTGCTGGAAGCACACGAGCACCAGGAAGAACACGATGTACTTCTCGAACGTGCGCGTCAACCCGCTCATGAAGTAGAAGAACGTGCCCAGGATGAACGACACCGACAGGTTCACCGGAATCTGCACCACGGTCTCCGCGATCGCGTACGACATCGTCCGGAAGAAATTGCGAGGACGCTGCTTGTAGAACACGCCTCGCAGCTGGAACGAAATCGTAATCTGCTGCCACGCCTGACGCTGGAACAGCGCGATGCTGAAGAAGATCATGCGCAGGTAGTACGTCGAGCTCACGTTGAAGTAGATCATGCCGAGCACGAGACCAACGATCAGCGCCTCGAACAGCTTGCCCCACAGCAACGGAGGATCGCGCAGCCAGATCAACTTCTGCCGGTTCAGCAGCAGCAGCGTGCTCGGAATGAACGCAAGTCCGAACTCCGACTTCTGCTTCGAACGGGCCAAGTTGGCCACGCTTTTAGCCTTCTGAAAGTCCTCCGCGTTCTCGAACTGGTGCTCGTTGAAACCCTTGCTGATGGCCTCGTGCGTCTTCTTGTAAATGCTGGACTGGCAGAAGAGGTTGTTGAAGTCCTCCGACGTCACGGCCAAGTCCCGCTTCTCCACCCTGCCGTTCGCGTAGCGGTGGCCACGCCCCGACGTGACCTCGATCAGGAAGTCGGCCGGATCCACGCGCGGAGGACAGCTGAAGCCGCGCTCCTCGAAGTAGTCCAAGATCTCCGTCCTCGGGCCGTGGTACACCATGTGGCCCTCGTTGACCATCAGGATGTCGTCGAACTGCTCCACCACCTCGGGCGTCGGCTGCAGCAGCGCCACGATCACCGACCCGCCCAGCGTCTTGCACCAGGTACGAAGCGCCTTGATGATGTCGAACGTAGCAGCGCTGTCCAGGCCCGTAGAGATCTCGTCACACAGGAACAGGCTCTGGCCACCGACCAGCACCTCACCCACAGTCACGCGCTTGCGTTCGCCACCACTCACACCTCGCAGCAGCGCGTTGCCCACCACCGTATCGGCGCAGCTCTCCAGACCCAAAATCTGTAGGAACAGCTCCGTGCGCAGCGCAGCGATCTCTCTCATCTCCTCCGGTTGGTCCTCCGGCCGGCCGTTGACGCACAGGTCGGCGAACTTGAACGTCTCGCGCACCGTCAGCGTCGGGATGTGGTTGTCCGTTTGGTCGACCAGACCCACGAGCTTGATGAGATCAATCTCCTCGCCACGAAGACCCGAGTACAGGATCTGGCCGCTGATCTCCGTCTGCTTGTTGTCCTGCAGCTTGCCGGCCAAAGCCTTCAGGAACGTCGACTTGCCGGCGCCAGGGTTGGCCAGGATCAGCGTCATGGAGCCAGGCTTGATGATGCCGCTCATCGGGTGCAGCGCGTGCTTGGTGGTCATGGGCACCTTCTGCCACGGCGTGAAGATGGAGGCCAGGTGCGACCCCACTGTGCCGTAAGCGCCAGCTTCAGCCGGAACCTGCACCGAGAAGGACAGGTTCTCGAAGCGCACCTCGGGCGTCGGCAGCTGCAGGTTGATCTTGCGCGACAGGTGGTTGTACTTCTTGTAGAAGCGCTCGAGGCCGCCGTTGAGCATCGTCTCGAGGTTGTCAGCCCGCAGCGTACTGTACCGACTGACCATGGTGTCACCGCCGCGGTTCGAGTACGGGTCCTGCAGACTGCGGAAGTTGAGCGAGCGGTACACGCCGGGGACCTCTTCGCCAGCATCGTTCGCCTCTGGTTGCAGCAGACTCATCTTGGACGTCGACTCCGTCGGGATGATCGAGGCAAAGGAGACGAACTGGTTGACAGGTAGAGAGAGGTGTCGCGGCGGGTGGGTCGTTCGGCTGGGTGGTGAGCCGAACGGGGCGGGTGGGTCCTCGGTCGGCCGAGGGGAATCCGGGAGTGAGGATTTTAAGGAGCTGTCGAGCGCGCGGTTAACTCTCAAGCGGTGTAGGTCGAGGTCGACTGGGTCTACCCGCACCCCGCTGTCAGAAGGAGGGACGGAGAGCATTCGTCCTGGTATCTTTGGTCTCATTGGCGCGCGAGTGTTTCCCGCGGCAGTCTTATGATGCCATCTGCAAAATATCTTTGATGCAAAAACTAACACGTATGTAAGTGCGGGCAGAGGCGACTTTCCTGCTGTCGGAGCCTCAGCCAGTTTGCGCTTTTAGATTACAACTCTTTGATACAACCAAACCAATCAGCCGGACAGATCGAATCTCTTGTCGTTCCTACCAATTTACAGGTGGTAATGGTTTAACGATTTCTAGCGTCAAGATCTTAGGCATGTGGTGTATCTTACTTCCAGTCGTGTTCAAAATAACCATTCTTGGTGCGTTTGTGTCTGGCAGGCCACTCTTCGAGGTGAATTCCCTACCACATCGACGGTTTTTATCGTCTAAAGTGACTCTTAGTTAGAGTCGAATAGAGTCCAATCATAGTACCGGTAGTCGGGGGAGGATGGCGTTCAACTCGCAGCTACACGATTGTATGAATACCTCAGAAGCATTATATACCGTTTGGTTATCGCTTCGCCTAGTACTACGACAACTCTACCTCCCCAGTTAATCATCTTCATTCTTTTTCATTAGTCTCGAATTGAGCAACAGTATTCAGCCCACATATATTTCCTTATCCTGTATTCAATGGGATAAGGATTTCGGCCAACATCCTCATACAAAACTGCCCGATCAGCATTGCACGCTGCAAGCCGAGACTCGCCACCAACGAATTTCTTGCAACCGCGGATTGTCAAGACGCCAGATTTCTGGCTCTGTTGACTCGAGTGCTCGTCAACCAGTAAATTCCGCGTCGCCATCCACGCGATGGTTCCAGAAGTGGCAGAAGGCTCTGAACGGAGCCATCGCAGATAGGAGATCCCATTCATCGAAATTTATCAAATACCTGTCTTCGTAGACGATATACCCCAGTCGAATCATTTCGTAGCCGTTCATGAGCACGATCTCGTGAGACTCTTTAGCGCCGCTTCCGTGTTGGTCCGTAGGTAGAATTGGCACTATAGCGTTTGTGCCAGGCGTAACCTTGATGCTGATATTAATGGCGCTTCCATGGCTGCCACTATCTTGTCGATCGCTAGCAGCAAATTTAATCGATAGATGTGAAATTTGCTGATGGAGGTGGGGCAGTCAGTTGGGGTTTACCCAAACAGCAGCAGAAGACATAAGCATTACTATCATAGTACATGTTGGTGGCTTTGGACTTGTCTGTAAATCCTCGACCTAATTACTACAAAATTTGTAGTAATTAGGTCGAGGATTAATAATGGGATAGGAAGCGACGTTAGTGCTGCTATCGCAGACAAATCGGATTATACCGGGAGGGCTACGTAGTAGCCTGTAGGGCACCACCAGCTTTATTTCGTTCAAAAAATGTCGACTGAGTTACAGGTACCTAACATTCGCTGTACTATCCCATGACACCTTTGGCAGCCTTCGCTCAACTGTGACATCACACGTCACATATTACATGGTTCCGCCTAAACCTCCCAGAAACAAAGGTGCGATGGCCCACTCTGTGTGTGGGCCTGTGTGTGATCGAAGCCAAACGGTGTGGTAAATTACCCAGCTACGTAATTTACGAGTGGATCATGGACATCCGAGACGACGTTATTGGCACCACCATTAGATCCAGCAAAAGCTAAAAAAAATATACATCTAGCCACTTCATGTTTTCACTTGAGAAACGCCCTCCCGGTTTAAGCGCTAGCGATCTAGTATCCGTGGTACGTTATCCGTGGTACGTTGACCCCTCTTGACATTTAACTGGTATATTTTCTTGAAACCGGTACGACTCCGGTGCCGCACTGGGCCCTCCATGGGCAGTTTGAACCGGTATGAGTCAGTAACATATATCGAACCGGATGGAGTGAAGTAAAATGAATGATTGAAGCGGACGGACTACTCTAGTAGCAAGCATTTCATTTCTCTACGAGCTACAAGCAGATCTCGAGCAAGGTTCGTTTCATTACTGTCTAAAAAAAACTACCAAGTCGTATCTTGCTCTTCGCCCTTGAGCAGATGCTGCGCCTGCTTCGCAGCCGCAGGAGATGACCGTGGATCATAACAAAAAATATCGTAAAAAAGTAATAAAGGGCTTTATCACAAAAACCTCCTATCCCAGCCTTCGCGGAGCCCTAGTCACAAAAGAGTCGATGTATACGGTATACCTCAACCACTGTATACATTCATGTACCACATATATGGTACTCGTGCATGTGATCGCAAGTCGGTGTTGACCGGTCAAGAGTCTGCGCTGCAGCACAATTAAGAGGACACCCCTCTGGCGTTGGGGGTGCGCCCGTATCCCTTTGCAGTCGCGGGCAACTTCTGGTTGTGTGACTTGCCGACTGCTGGCGGGCTGAGATCACCTAGAAACTACTAACACGATAGCAAGTGCAAGATTTATGTCGCCAACCTAAGTTCTTCTGAGCCGATCGGCACAAGATAGCCAAAGCTGTACGGGCCGGTGCGAGTTCGGAAAGTTGTCGATGGATACTGCAGGTAGACTACATGATGTAGTATGTATGAAGGAGTTGGGGCCAGTACAGCTCCTTTTCTTGCCTCTAAAGAGAAGTTCGGTCGTATTTCTCATTTGGCAGTGACGCAGGCCTATAGCTGGCTAAGAATCGGCATGTGAGCTCATGCGGTCATTGGCTCGCAACTTATTGCTGATACCAATCGTCTGCACGTACGACGGTCACCTTCACCTGAAGTTCAGGCCGATGAATCATCGAGACCCTCAACATCCTCGGGATCACCTGTATGGTTACATCGAAAACCAACCCCAGCAGCACGACTGCGGTAGTATTGCGACGATGAGGGTCGGAAGCAGTTTCATGAGCTGTCCGTTCCGTCATGCCTGCGACGGGCACCACCTTCCTAGCTCGTTTTAGCTTTGTCGGATGAACGGAGGGCGGGGTCTGCAAAAAAAAGTCGAGAGCGAACCCAGTATTTGAGAGTGGCGACTGCATCGCACCTGTAATTATGCGCGGATGTTGCCAGAAGCACTGCATCAAGGGTTGTTTGTCGAAGATCGCCATTGTCTTGTATCATGAATGCTCACCACAGCTATCGGATGTCTTGCGACTCGCAATGCGAGGACCCACGCCTGAGTCGTGTCGTCTGTTTACAAAAAGTATGGTTGTACGGCAAGACGACGAGTGGAGGTGGCAAATGCTGGTGCTGCTTGCGACGATCCGGCGCCGTACTTTGATGGAAGTTGAAGTCATAACTGTCGCCCCATAGCGAAGTTCATACTCGGACAGGCGCATGCCCAAAACCAAAAAATGGGATGTATGACTACACAAAGTGAGACTTGCGAAACCATTCGGCAACGACCCGCCCACCTCGAGCAGTTTTGTTGAGCCCCAGCTCTCCGCCACCCACCTGACAGCTTCACTCTGCGATTTCCTCCGCGCCTGCCAGCCTCCCAGTTCAGCTCAAGCTCCAGAGAGACCCACCGACAGACAGTCGAATTGTTTCCCAGGAGCGCCATGCCGACGGAGGACAAGCGCAGTTTGTTGCAGCCGGAGGCCCCGGCGGCCACTGAGGAGGTGCCGCAGGTGTACCGGTCGCTCAACTTCCGCAGCCTGCAGGACCCCTACTCGAACCGCGGTGGTGACACCATGGCCAGCCACTACAGCACGCTGCGCACCGACAACCTCGAGTCCATGCTCAACGGCGGCCTCGAGCGCTTCTACAAGAAGTACAACCACCTGTCGCGCAAGATCAACCTGCAGCTGCCCACGCCCGAGGTGCGTTTCCAGGACCTGTCGTTCTCGGTGCAAGTGCCGGCAAGTGTCGCAGGCCACAACACTGTGGGCTCGCACCTGGCCTCCATCTTCACGCCGTGGCAAAAGGTGCCCATGACTACCAAGCACGCGCTTCACCCGATGACTGGTATCATCAAGCCTGGCTCCATGACGCTGATCCTGGCCAACCCCGGTGCCGGCAAGTCGACGTTCCTGAAGGCGATGACCGGCAAGCTGCAGGACAACAAGCAGACGGAGATCGGCGGCGAGATCCTGTATTCGGGTCTTCGTGGCGACGAGATCGACCTCATCAAGCTCGTGGGTCTGGTTGATCAGACGGACAACCATATTCCGACACTGTCGGTGCGGGAGACGTTCAAGTTCGCCGACATGTGCGTCAACGGCCGACCGGAAGACCAACCGGAGGAGATGCGCGACATCGCCGCACTACGCACGGAGCTGTTCCTGCAGATTTTGGGTCTGGAGAACTGCGCCGACACTGTTGTCGGTGACGCTCTGCTGCGTGGTGTTAGTGGCGGTGAGCGGAAGCGTGTGACGGTCGGTGAAGTGCTTGTCGGTGGTCAGAGCCTGTTCCTGTGTGATGAAATCTCCACGGGTCTGGATAGCGCTGCCACATTTGATATCGTCAAGTCCATGCGAACATGGTGCAAGACCCTCGGCGGTTCGGTGATCGTTGCGTTGCTACAGCCGACACCCGAAGTGGTCGAGATGTTCGACGACATCTTGATGATCCACGAGGGTCACATGGTCTACCACGGGCCAAGGACGGAGATCTTGAGCTACTTTGAGAAGCTCGGTTTCAGTTGTCCGCCTCGTGTCGACCCTGCTGACTTCCTGATTGAGGTCACGTCGGGCCGCGGCCACCGCTACGCGAACGGTAGCGTCGAGACCAAGAATCTGCCGGTCACGCCGGAGGAAATGAACAATCTCTTCTGCCAGTCGGACATTTACAAGGCTACGCACGAGGCTATCAGCAAGGGCTTCAACGAACACCAGTTCGAGAATGCCGAAGACTTCAAGAAGGCCAAGAGCGTGGCCAACCTGGCGCGCTCGAAGCAGAACTCGGAGTTTGGTCTGGCTTTCATCCCGAGCACTCTGCTGCTGCTGAACCGGCAGAAACTCATCTGGCTACGCGATCCGCCGTTGCTCTGGGGCAAGTTGTTGGAAGCTCTCATTATCGGTCTTGTCATGGGCATGATCTACTTCAACGTCAGCTCGACGTACTACCTGCGCATGATCTTCTTCAGCATCGCGCTGTTCCAGCGACAGGCCTGGCAGCAGATCACCATCTCGTTCCAGCTGCGTAAGGTCTTCTACAAGCAGCGACCTCGCAACTTCTTCCGGACAACCTCGTACGCGATTGCCGAGAGTGTGGTGCAGATCCCGGTGAACGTCGCGGTATCTTTCGTTCTCGGCACGTTCTTCTACTTCATGAGCGGCTTGACGCGCTCGTTTGAGAAGTACATCGTGTTCTACCTGGTGCTGCTCTGCTTCCAGCACGCCATCAGCGCGTACATGACCATGCTGAGCGCGTTGTCACCGAGTATCACGGTTGGCCAGGCCCTGGCTTCGATTTCCGTGAGCTTCTTCCTGTTGTTCTCCGGTAACATTATCCTGGCCGACCTGATCCCGGACTACTGGATCTGGATGTACTGGTTCTCTCCGATTTCGTGGGCGCTGCGCAGTAACATGTTGTCCGAGTTCTCAAGCGCCCGCTACACTGATGAGCAGAGCAAGAAATTCCTCGAGAGCTTCTCGATCAAGCAGGGCACGGGCTACATTTGGTTCGGCATTGGCGTTCTCGCTTTCTACTACTTCTTGTTCACGACGCTGAACGGCTTGGCGCTGCACTTCATCCGGTACGAGAAGTACAAGGGCGTTAGTGTGAAGACCATGACGGACAACAACAACGCTACTTCTAGCGACGAGGTGTACGTCGAAGTCGGCACGCCGAGTGCCCCCAATGGGACTGCTGTCAAGTCAGGCGGTCTGCCGTTCACGCCGTCTAACCTGTGCATCAAGGACCTGGAGTACTTCGTGACACTGCCGTCGGGCGAGGAGAAGCAGCTTCTGCGCGGCATCACGGCGCACTTCGAGCCGGGCCGCATGGTGGCGCTCATGGGTGCCACCGGTGCTGGCAAGACGACGCTAATGGACGTGATTGCCGGCCGTAAGACTGGCGGACGCATTGTGGGCGACATCATCGTGAACGGTGAGCTGAAGAACCCGGCCAACTTCAGCCGCATCACGGCATACTGTGAACAAATGGATATTCACTCGGAGGCGGCTTCTATCTACGAGGCGCTGGTGTTCTCGGCGAACCTGCGTCTTCCCCCTACGTTCACGACGGAGGAGCGCATGAACCTGGTGCACGAAACGCTTGAGCTGCTGGAGCTGTCGCCGATCGCTAGTGCTATGGTGGGCAGTCTGTCGGTTGAGCAGAAGAAGCGCGTGACGATCGGCGTGGAGGTGGTGTCGAACCCGAGTATTTTGTTCTTGGATGAGCCTACCAGTGGCCTGGATGCGCGTTCGGCCCTGATCGTGATGCGCGGTGTTCAGTCGATTGCCCGCACGGGCCGTACGGTGCTGTGCACGATCCACCAGCCCAGCATTTCAATCTTCGAGCTGTTTGACGGTCTACTTCTGCTGCAGAAGGGTGGCTACACGGCCTACTTCGGTGACCTCGGTGTGGATTCGGTGAAGATGCTCGAGTACTTCGCTTCAATCCCCGGCACGATGGAGATCCGCCCTCAGTACAACCCAGCCACGTACATGCTTGAGGTGATCGGCGCTGGTATCGGCCGCGACGTCAAGGACTACTCGGTGGAGTACAAGAACAGCGAGCTGTACAAGTCGAACCGTGCGCGTACTCTTGAATTGGCTGAAGTGTCGGAAGACTTCGTCTGCCACTCGACACTCAACTACAAGCCGATTGCCACTGGTTTCTGGAACCAGCTTTGTGCGTTGACCAAGAAGCAGCAGCTCACGTACTGGCGCAACCCGCAGTACAACTTCATGCGCATGTTCCTCTTCCCGTTGTTTGCCGTCATCTTTGGTACGACGTTCTACCAGCTATCGGCAGCGAGTGTCAAGAAGATCAACTCGCACATCGGTCTGATCTACAACAGTATGGACTTCATCGGTGTCATCAACCTCATGACGGTGCTGGAGGTGACGTGCGCCGAACGCGCCGTGTTCTACCGCGAGCGGATGTCGAACTACTACGGCCCGTTGCCGTACAGTCTGTCGCTGTGGTTCGCTGAGATCCCGTACCTCATCGTGGTGATCATCATGTTTGTGACGATCGAGTACTGGTTGGTGGGCTGGAGCGACAACGCCGGCGACTTCTTCTTCTTCATGTTCGTGTTCTATCTGTACACGTCGGCGTGCACGTACGTGGGCCAGTGGATGTCCGCGCTGATGCCGAACGAGAAGGTGGCGAACGTGGCTGTGGGTGCGCTGTCGTGCCTGTTCAACCTGTTCTCGGGCTACCTGCTACCTCGTACCGCTATGAAGCCGGGCTACAAGTGGTTCCAGTATGTGATGCCGTCGAGCTACTCGCTTGCTGCTTTGGTGGGTGTGCAATTCGGCGAGAACCAGGATATTATTGCGGTGACCGCGAACAACGTGACCAAGCAGATGACTGTGTCCGACTACATCGCCAACACGTACGACTTCCGGCCGGCCAAGAAGTACGACTTCATGGTCGGCCTCATTGTCATCTGGATTGTGCTGCAGATTGCCATCTACCTCACGTTCAAGTACGTAAGCCACTTGAAGAGATAAGCGACCAAGCCTCTGGGGAGAAGATGGCAAGACACTGTGCGCTCTTTTCGTCCACAGAAGCGAAAAGACCGGTTGGTACTTTCCGTCATTTGCATGACATACACTTGAATTCATTTTCATACTTCATCTTTTGTTTTGTTTTGGGTTTGCATCTCTGTCGGGAAAGTTTGGCAAATGGACGTCGCGAGACCATGACCTGGATCATTCGTTGCCGCACCGCCACAAATGCTCCAGGTCCTTCACAGCATGCGAGTTTGACGGCACACAACAGTGGATTGCATCGCCCATGAGCCCGTTACTATGAAATTCATAGTATGAATGCGACGAATTCAGAAACCCAATCGGTAGTCGAACCATTCAAGCACCTTGGCATTGGTCATTGTCGTGGAGGTAGCATGCCCGCGAAGTAGATAATATAGTAGTATATTTATATTTTATTCCTACAAGGGAGTATGAACTCATATTGTAAATACGAATGATATTAATAAATTTGTGGTATTATTCACAGGTCGAAGACCTGTGCTTGGCCCCGGCAAAAATCTTGTAACTTTCCAAAACCGTGTACCAAACTGAGTCTATCTTTTCTTAATGATACCCGTCGATAAATGCAAAGATTATGCATATTATTTACCAAAGGTTGACACTAATCGTTTATTCTTTACCAAAACCTGCATTCAAACACTTACAGACGCTCCAGTTCACTATGAGTCATGGCTTCGCTAAAGGCGAATCAATTTGCGCCATAATCGACCAAGCTTAGCTGAAGATGATAAGTATGAGCTCATATTGTAAAATATGAATGATATTATTAAATTAGTTGTATTATTAATATATGTTATGTATAGTACTTGTGGTTCCGGCGACGTAAGCACGCACCGTTCATAACGAAAGAATGGTCTCCCGCTTCCTCCCACTCTTTGCATGCATTTGCCAAGTGACCAAGCCCGAATTCCTCACGCGTGTAGTTACGGGTGACATGATTGGCACGGCCTCAGCACGGGCCCAGCCAACCCGGGACGGCCGAGATGGCAAGGTGTCAAAGCAATGGAAGACTGCGCGGTCGGATCAGCCTTCCCCGTTGGGAAGTTCAGGACCTTCCTGCGTCTATCAGAATCTTCGTTGTTGGGTGCTGTGCCGACTGCCGCCGTCACTTATTAATTCTCCACCAAAAGACCAAGCAAGGGGGAAGGTAACCGAAGATGCAATTGTATCGACCGACTACTGCGCTTCTCGTTGCAGTGATCGCCACGTCTGGCCAGCACGTCGTCGCGGACGAGTACGCTCTGGGGAGCTCCTTCTCCGTCACAGTCGATGCTGGCACAACGTCGGTCGAGGTGGTCAACTCTGCTGGAGACCACGTCTGGAAATGTAAGTCGGCCATGCAATGAATAGAGGGAGCAAAGCTCAACTAACCTCGAATGTGTCACTAGCCGCCTCGGACCGAGCGTTCGTATCAGCGTCAACGGGACTCACGACCACCACGCAGTCCTCGGGCAACTTCGAGATCAGTAGCAAGAACGTGGGGACACCAGCTCAGAACCTCAGCATCGGCCAAGTATCTTCCAGCTCTGATCGTGTGGACATCGCTGGATCATTCGGTGGTTCCAACTGGACGTGGACGTTGTCGTTCTCCTTGGAACCCGGCAGCTCGCAGGCGTTAGTGTTTAACGCAAGCGTGGCCGGAGGCGACGTCGCCAACGTCTACCTCGCCTACGAGTCTCCCCCTGAAGAAGCCTTCTTCGGACTGGGGGAGCAGACTGGAATCGGCAATCTTCGCGGTTGGCGCGTGCCCATCTGGACTCGCGAAGGTGGGGCTGGCCGAGGTGAAGAGCCGATCACCTCCGTCCTCAACGCGAATCCTGCTGCTGCCGGCACCTTTGCCGGTGGATCGTTGCTGACCACGTACACGGCGATAGCATCTCTGACGTCGTCGTTGGGACGCTGGATTGTGCTCGATGGCGCCAACTACGCGCTGTTTGACCTTGCGAGCAACGCTACGTCCTCTTTCGAAGATACTGCGGAGAGCTACTTGGCGGGCGACATCGTCGAGGGTGACCACTCGAACTCGTCGTCCACGACTGTGGAGATCCAGTACGAAGGCAATTCGATCAGCGGCTGGCTCGGTCGGGCCACTGATGGGAATCCGTTGCTTGAAGCTACCGGTGCATTGACGAAGATCACGGGCCGACAGCCGGAATTGCCCGCCTGGGTCAATGACGGAGCCATCCTGGGCATTCAAGGCGGACAAGACTTTGTCGAGGAGGTCATTCAAGACGCACTGAATGCGGGCTTGCCTTTGGCGAGCGTCTGGCTGCAGGATTGGTCGGGGACGCGACTCCAAGCAGGATCTTATGGCATCTACGTCCACCGTTTGTGGTGGAACTGGGAGCCCGATACGACGCTGTACCCGTCCTGGGCCGAGTGGGTGCCCTACCTCCGCGACGAATACAACGTGCGCACCTTGAGCTACGTCAACACCTTCCTGGCCAACGTCAGCACCAAGAGCACGGGCTACAACACCAGCTTCTACGACATCGCTAAGGGTGAGGGCCGATTCGTCGCGAATTCCTCTACCGAGAGTGATGGTGACAGCGTGTGGACCATCACGAGTGGAGTCGGCATCGACGCTGGGATTCTAGACCTGTCGAACCAGTCGACGATTAATTGGTTCAAGGACCTCGTGAAGCAGCAGTACTATTCCGTGCCGATCTCGGGGATGATGCAGGACTTCGGTGAATATCTCGCAGTGGACGACTCAGTCACTCTTTCGCACGGCACGGTGAGCCCGCGCCAGTTCCATAATGCCTACCCCACAGTTTGGGCAACCTTGTTACGCGAAGTGGTTGAAGAGCTGGGTTTGGCGAACGAAACTGTTGGCTTCCACCGTAGCGCGGGTACGTTCTCGGCCAAGCACACCAACCTCTTCTGGGTGGGCGACCAGAACATCGACGAGTCTCGAGAGGACGGCCTGCGTGCTGCGGTGAGCAGTGCACTCCACGTCGGGGCCTCAGGCTTCGCCCACACGCACTCGGACGTCGGCGGATACACCAACATCCTGTCTTCCATCGGCAACTTCACGCGCAGCGCGGCACTTTTGGGTCGTTGGGGAGAGCTCAGCGCCCTCAGCGATGCTGTGTTCCGGACGCATGAGGGCAATATCCCGCAGGTCAACGCGCAGGCGTACACGAACGCCTCGACGCTGGCGTATCACGCGTACAACACGCGTTTGTTCCGCAGTCTCAAGAAGTATCGGTTGGCGCTGCAGACCGAGTATCAAACTCGTGGTTGGCCGGTACTCCGACACCCGATTGTGTACTCTCCGAGCCATTCGGTCGCACGTACCATCATCGACGAGAGCTTCTGGGTGGGCGAGGCACTGTATGTGGCCCCTGTCTATGATGTGAGAGCCTCCTCGCTTGAGGTGTATCTCCCGCCACTTGAGATCGACAGTGAAGGCGGCAAACTCAACGCTACGAGTGTCGTGTACAAGCATCTCTGGAGCGGAGAGGAATTTCAAGCAGGTCAAACTGTCACAGTTGACTCGCCATGGGGACAGCCCGGTGTTTTCGTACGCTGGCCCGTCACGAAGGACGAGGAAGCTCAGCTCCAGGGTTTGTGGGAATTTGTTGAAGCAGAGAAGTCGACGGTGCTGACGGCCTGAAGGGGTAGCACTACAGGCAAGCGGGGTATGCAATACAATATATTCGCGGCGCAAATAAAAAAGTATCAAATGCATGTCGATCATGACGCTCGTGCGCTAATACTATGATCTCAACGAGGGTTTTATCTCTTGAGATGGCTCACGAACTTGAATGTCAGGTAGATGGCTATCTGCAGCACGACCCAGATCACGATGAGGGCGGCCATGAAGTTGTACTTGCGCTCCGGGTGGTAGTCGTAGGTCCTCTCGATGTACGCGGAAACTGTCATGTTGGTCGTCCCCGCCTTCGTCGTCACGGCGATAATGTGTTGGTCGTCGCCGAACTGGATGCCAGCCAAGGCAGACAGCGAATAGTACGACGGCATCACGTATTGGAACCACTTGTAGCCCGGCTTCATAGCTGTCCGAGGCAGTAGAAAACCCGAGAACAGGTTAAACAGACACGACAGCGCACCCACAGCCACGTTCGCCACCTTCTCGTTCGGCATCAATGCGGACATCCACTGGCCCACGTACGTGCACGTCGATGTGTAGAGGAAGAAGATGAACATGAAGAAGAAGAAGTCCCCTGCGTCATCGCTCCAGCCCACCAACCAGTACTCGATCGTCACAAACATGATGATCACCACGATGAGGTACGGGATCTCAGCGAACCACAGCGACAGACTGTACGGCAACGGGCCGTAGTAGTTCGACATCCGCTCGCGGTAGAACACGGCGCGCTCGGCGCACGTCACCTCCAGCACCGTCATGAGGTTGATGACACCGATGAAGTCCATACTGTTGTAGATGAGTCCAACGTGCGAGTTGATCTTCTTGACGGTTGCAGCTGAAAGCTGGTAGAACGTCGTGCCGAAGATGACGGCGAACAGCGGGAAGAGGAACATGCGCATGAAGTTGTACTGCGGGTTGCGCCAGTACGTGAGCTGCTGCTTCTTGGTCAACGCACAAAGCTGGTTCCAGAAACCAGTGGCAATCGGCTTGTAGTTGAGCGTCGAGTGCCGCACGAAATCGTCCGACACTTCGCACAATTGAAGAGTGCGCGCACGGTTCGACTTGCACAGCTCGCTGTTCTTGTACTCCACCGAGTAGTCCTTGACGTCGCGGCCGATACCGGCACCGATCACCTCCATCATGTACGTCGCTGGATTGTATTGTGGGTGGATTTCTTGTGTTCCTGGAATCGAGGCGAAGTACTCGAGCATCTTGACGGAATCAACACCCAAATCGCCGAAGTAAGCCGTGTAGCCACCCTTTTGGAGTAGCAGAAGGCCATCAAACAGCTCGAAGATGGAGATACTCGGCTGGTGGATCGTGCACAGCACCGTACGGCCCGTGCGAGCAATCGACTGCACGCCACGCATCACAATGAGAGCCGAACGCGCGTCCAGGCCACTCGTGGGCTCGTCAAGGAACAGGATGCTCGGGTTCGCGACAACCTCGACACCGATCGTCACGCGTTTCTTCTGCTCCACCGACAATTGGCCCACCATTGAGCTGGCGATGGGAGTTAGCTCGAGTAGATCTAGAGTTTCGTTGACCAGGTTCATGCGCTCTTCAGTCGTGAACGTAGGGGGAAGTCGTAGATTCGCCGAGAAGACCAGCGCCTCGTAGATAGAAGCCGCCTCCGAGTGGATGTCCATCTGCTCGCAGTAGGCCGTGATGCGGCTGAAGTTGGCCGGGTTCTTCGGCTCACCGTTCACGATAATGTCGCCGGCAATGCGACCACCCGTTTTCCGACCGGCAATGACGTCCATTAGCGTCGTCTTGCCAGCTCCGGAGGACCCCATGAGCGCCACCATGCGGCCAGGCTCGAAGTGAGCGGTGATGCCACGCAGAAGCTGCTTCTCCTCGCCCGACGGCAGCGTCACGAAGTACTCCAGGTCCCTAATGCACAAGTTCGACGGTGTGAACGGCAACCCGCTGCCTTTCGCAGACTTCACGGCTTCCCCTGCAGCCGGCGTGTTGACTTCGACGTAAACCTCCTCGTGGTTAGCAGCGTTATCAGCCGAGGTCTTGATGCTAACGCCCGAATACTTCTCGTATCGGATGTAGTGCAACGCTAGCGCGTTCAGAGTCGTGAAGAGCAGGTAGTACGCGAGGAGAATCCCCACGCCGAACCAAATGTACTCAGTGCCCTGCTTGATCGAGAAGGTATCCAAGAGCTTCTTGCTTTGCTCGGGTGTGTAGCGGTCGCTCGAGAACTCTGACAACATGTTGCTGCGCAGCGCCCAGGCCAGCGGGTTGAACCAGTACATCCAGATCCAGTAGTCCGGGATGAGTTCGGCCAGGATGATGTTGCCGGAGAACAAGAGGAAGAAGCTCACCGATACAGACGCGAGAGCTTGGCCGACGGTGATACTCGGAGACAATGCACTCAAGAGCGTCATGTACGCACTGATGGCGTGCTGGAAACAGGCAAGCACCAGGTAAAACACGATGTACTTCTCGAACGAGCGCGTCAAGCCGCTCATGAAGTAGAAGAACGTGCCCAAGATGAACGACACCGTCAGATTCACGGGGATCTGCACCACACTCTCCGCGATGGCGTACGAGGACGTGCGGAAGAAGTTGCGCGGCCGCTGCTTGTAGAAGACTTTGCGTAGCTGGAACGAGATCGTAATCTGCTGCCACGCCTGACGCTGGAACAGCGCAATGCTGAAGAAGATCATGCGCAGGTAGTACGTCGAGCTCACTTCAAAGTAGATCATACCGAGGACAAGCCCCACAAGGATCGCCTCGATGATCTTCCCCCAGAGCAACGGCGGGTCTCGCAGCCAGATGAGCTTTTGGCGGTTCAGTAGCAGCATTGTACTGGGGATGAACGCCAGCCCGAACTCGGATCGATCCTTCGACCGCACTAAGTTGACGACACTGTGTGCCTTCTTGTAATCCTCTGCACTCTCAAACGAATGCTCGTTGAAGCCCTTGGCGATGGCGTCTGTTGTCTTCTTGTAGACAGCTGACTGGCAGAACAGAAGATTGAACTCTTCAGGCGTCACGGGCAGAGCGTTCGTTGGTACACTTCCGTTGGCGTACCGCTGGCCACGCCCTGTAGTCACTTCGATCAAGAAATCCGCGGGGTCAACGCGGGGAGGGCACGTGAAGCCGCGCTCTCGGAAGTAGTCCAGGATGTCGACCCTCGGGCCGTGATACACCATGTGACCCTCGTGGATCATCAAAATGTTGTCGAACTGCTCCACCACCTCGGGTGTCGGCTGAAGCAGCGCCACAACGACGGACCCTCCCAGTGTGTTGCACCACGTACGCAACGCCTTCATGATGTCGAACGTCGCAGCACTATCCAGACCCGTCGAGATCTCGTCGCAGAGGAACAGACTCTGTCCACCCACCAGCACCTCCCCCACCGTCACGCGCTTGCGTTCACCACCGCTAACACCACGCAGCAACGCGTTGCCCACGACGGTATTGGCGCAACCTTCAAGGCCCAGAAGCTGCAGGAACAGCTCGGTACGTAACGCGGCGATGTCGCGCATCTCGTCGTGTTGGTCTTCCGGAAGCCCATTCACGCACAGATCTGCGAACTTGAACGTCTCGCGCACCGTTAGAGTCGGGATGTGGTTGTCCGTCTGGTCCACGAGCCCCACGAGCTTCGTGAGCTCGATCTCGTCGCCGCGGAAGCCCGAGTACAGGATCTCGCCTCCGATCTCCGTCTTGGAGTTCCTCTGCAGCTTGCCGGCCAGCGCCTTGAGGAACGTCGACTTGCCGGCGCCAGGGTTCGCCAGGATCAGCGTCATGGAGCCGGGCTTGATGATTCCGGTCATGGGGTGCAGCGCGTGCTTGGTCACCGTCGGAGGCCGCTTCCACGGCGTGAAGATCTTGGCCAGGTAGGACCCCACGGTGTTGTAGCTGCCGTTGGTTGCCGGGACGCCTACTGAGAAGGACAAGTCTTGGAAGCGCACTTCGGGAGTGGGCAACTGGAGGTTGATCTTGCGCGAAAGGTGGTGGTATTTCTTGTAGAACCACTTCAGTCCGCCGTTGAGCATGACTTCGAGGTTGTCGGCTTCCAGCGTGCTGTAGCGACTGGCCATCGTGTCGTGGCTCGAGTGGTTGTACGGCTCCTGCAAGCTGCGGAAGTTGAGAGAGCGATAGACATCAGGGACGGGCGTCTCCCCCAGAGGCGGGGCCACGGCGTTGTCGTGGTCGCTGGCGTTGGCATCGGGCTCCGGCAGCAACAAGCTCATCTTGAGCTCCCACCGACCGAGTCACACCCTAGCGTACGTTTGACGAGCAGGCAACTACCTCCTCTTCACTTCGACTTGGCTGGACTTCGATTGATCAGAGACTCGACTTGCGAGCTAAAGTTGGAATTCGCCCTTCAAACTCACAACTGCCCTCTTCAAGGCCAGAGATAGGAAGTCCATGTCATGGTCGCATGTAACCTCTACTTCCAGCCGAGTTAAATTCAGGCCACACTGGTAGATAGCAGGCGCCTAGCAAAGGAAAGGAAATAGGCACCGGTTGGCCTCCTGCCGTGGACAAATTTAGGGCAGCGAGGGGGCTTTCTGGTAGGTGTCAAAAGTGAACGAGGATCATAAGAACGCAGTCCCCAGGCAGGATGAATTCTCGAATCTCCGAATTCGAGTTCTCGTTCCCTCTCTTAACTTGGCGCGGTGGTTATTAGAATTTGCTGGTGTCGGGGATACTATTTTGGTGATATTTCGTGTGAGCCAGCTCTGGATCGATGGGGTTGGTGGAGAGACTGTCGTCTAGCAAAACGACAATAAATTTCTTGGGTCAAGTTTCTCCTTAAGCTAACTATTCTTCCCTTGAGGAATGTACCTTACTTCCTAGCGGCTGATGATCATCCCAATCAATCGATCGCTCACTTCAATGTCTCCAACGTAAATTCAGTTGGGGATCGAGACCAACTTGAGCGCTGGGGCGATAACCAGCACCTCCCAGTGCAACATGCCTTGGAGCGTGTCTGAAGCGTTCCGCCGAGCGTGCTCCTCGCTGCAGTAGTCCGTGCGTCCGACCCAGCTGATCTGCTGGTACGACTCACCCGTGACAGAGTTCACCACATCAAAGGCCTCAATTGATAGAGAAAGGTCGGCCCACGCGAGTTTCCCGCTGAGCTCCTCCATCGATGGCGGACGAGGACAGCCAGGGTCGACGCTTTGTGTTCCCAGTATGTATCCCGTGCCCACAACAACTTCACCTGAGGACGCAGGCCCGCTTTCAACGGCGATGTCCTTGGCTGCTTCAACTAGGAAGCGCACAAATACCGACCTGAAAGTCGAGATATCGCTCGGGGAGAAGACGTCTCGGGCGAGCACGAACGCGTTTGAATTGACTCGCTGCAGCGCCTGCAGGTGCCGCGTCTCGGTCTTGACCTTCTTGAACTCCTCCAGTATCAAGCCGTTGGTCCACGACTTCTTCATCACGTCGAGCACGTTGAGGCCGTGGAAGCGCTTCGTGTAGACGAACTCCAACACGCTATCCTCCACGCGCTGCACGATGTCCCAGCCGAACGCTTGCATGCAGCGTGTACGTAGTTCGCGCTGTGCGCCTACAGATAGCAGGCGATTTTTGACGTGGCTGACGTATCGCTCGTTGTCCATGATGATTTGTGTGAGGTCCTGTTCGGTCAGCGGCTGGAATCCGAACTCCCGCGCTGCTTGGAGCTCGTCCATGACTTCGATCACGACTTCAGGGACGCCCTGGAGCTGTGGTTCGTGGTGGACGCTGCTGGCTTCAAAGTCGATGATGCGCTGCAGTTGAAGCCTCCACGCGGCCTTTTGCTTGAGCATGGACTGGAGGAGGAGCTTTTCAGCCCCGAGTCGCTTGCTGACGGCCAGAGCTTGAGCTATTCAGCGGTGCATGCTGTCAGTTGGTTGATAGATGGCCGTGTCGGACGTTGAAGTAGCTGTGTGTGAGCGATTGGTTAAGTCATTGTACTGCTTCTCGAGGTTTTGCACGGTGGTCTTCATTTCTTGCAGCCGTTGACGCTGACTCTGCCTTGCCTGACGCATGCACTCTCGGTTCTGCTGGCGATGCGCTTCGACTTGAGCTGGGCTTAGTTTGCGTGCCATGATAATTTCTTGGTGGTTGCAGTGGGGTGTGGATAGAAGGAGAGTGAAGCTGATCAACAGGAGACTAAACTCCTGACGCGTGGCAATCGGAGAACTAGCTTCCACTGTTGACGCTAGCTCGAGCACGCCATCAATGGAGAGTCATTAAAGCAACATTGAAAATCAGCCTCAATGTGTGGGATCAATAACATTGATGGGGTCCAATGTTGCGTGATCGCTAACATTGACGCAATGTAAACTAGCCGAGCGCCGCCGCTACGTGGCGGGGATTTTTAGTTAGTTGGCGCTTCACTCGCTATGCTCGCTCCGCTATTGGAGCAGACTGCCTACGCTTCGCTACTGCAGTGGCGGACCCGTTCCGCTCGCCTCGTCGGCTCGCTGCACTACTCTCAATGTCAGGTTAGTATTACAGAGGCCGGGGCGGGTCCTGCGGCCCCGCAATATCGTATGAGGGGGTCGCCTTCGGCGACGGAGCCGCCTTCGCTGCGCTCGGCAGCTACTCGTACTTAGTGTAATTCGTACTTAGTGAATAAGCGTGACGATTTTGTGACGGACGGACAGCGCGTCTTTCTGATTGATTCTTAGGATTTTCCAGACGTGAAATTTCATGTTTGGAGCGACTGGCTCACAACATCTCTCATTTCAGAATCTACCGGGTAGGAAGCAAGCGCCCGCGCGCTCGCTCCGCCTCCGCGTCGTGCGATCGTCTGCAGCGGTCACCCGCTCAACCTTATTCTAATGTGTGCATGTCCTACTGCGGTGCTTATATGCATGTGTGTACTACGTATGCGGGAGCAAACGCCTTCCCAGTGCGTTGCGTTGCGTCAGGTGCGATGCGTGTTGCATGCAATCGAATGCGCTACCTTCTAAGCAGGCGTAAGCGCTTTTAATGCGCCTCTAGCCAACAGCGCAGTTAGGTTAAAGGGGGAGGGCGAGCGAACGCGAGCGCGAGCCTCGCTGAGCGCGTTCACCGATCGTCAACACCCGCCGATCAGGCGGGGGCGGGTCTGCGCGAGCAAGCGAAGGCGAGCGCTGCAACCCGATACTTTTTTTTTTCTAGACACCGCGCCTGGCCAAGCCGAGGACTTAGCGTAAGGCACGAGGGGGTGGGGCAGGCCGCACAGCGGCGCACCCCGAGCGAAGCGAGAGAGGGGCGCCCCCCCCCCCCCCCCGAAGTGCCGTCGCTAAGTCCGCAGGCGAAAGCCAACGCGAGAGTGTCCTGCCAACTAGGAATAGACAACACGTTTGCCCAGGTAGAGCTGCGCGTAGATCCCGTAGAGCCCATTCTCCTGCTGCATGTGTCGGCGGCGCCGACTCGGCGCGTACACCATGACGCGCTTGCCGCGTTAGCGGCGGAAGCTGTTGGCGTACGCCCCGAGTGATACAGCGGTGCTTCGCTGTCGTGCTGTCGTGCTGTCATGCTGTCGAGCTGTCGAGCTGTCGAGCTGTCGAGCTGTCGAGCTGTCGAGCTGTCGAGCTGTCGAGCTGTCGAGCTGTCGAGCTGTCGAGCTGTCGAGCTGTCGAGCTGTCGAGCTGTCGAGCTGTCGTGGCGACGCGTGTCCACTATTGTCACATTGGTAAAACAAATATTCTGCTACGAGAGATACCGTAACATTGTGCAATGTTAGGCAGAGGCACCATTGTTGCGCTCAATGTTACACAACGCCAACATTTCAATGTTGCTTTAATCAGTGCCCCATCAATGAGGGCAAGGGCAACATCACTGACGGTGAGATTACCAAAATTTACTAACACTCGATGCGTCAATTATATCAGTAATACCTATAATGAGAAGCTACGCTTGCAGTGTCTTGGCCTTGAACGTCTCCTTCAACTGCAACCGATAATAAGTACGTTGACAAATCGAACTGTATTAAGATGACCCATAGGACTGCAGCGGCTGGCATGAGACCGAACACAACGCTCGCATTTGAATGCTGAGTCGGTATTACACTGGGTATCCCGTTCGCAGACACGCATCGGTCACGATCACGTGGATATCGGGGACTATCCAACTCACCTGTGCGAAATGCGAAAAGTAATCTGCTCTACGTACACTGTAGCCGAGGGCTAGACAGGACAGTCCACGTTGCGAGTATCCAACTTGCGATCAGTGGCGAGCGCGCTTGCGCAGCTTTGATGAAAGGTATGGATCTTGGACACGAAGCTCGGACGAAGCGGAGGGAGGGACGTCGCAGACGGCGGGACCGGAGCGAAGGCACTTGAGGGGTAGAATGAAGATTCGAAAGTGATTGAATTGTTGGAGCTTACACCCTACTGTTATAGACACGCGACCCTGCGTCCTATCACCTAGTGCATCTAATCAACCATCACTCACCGGTGTTCATCCAATCATCCTACTCGTCTAATCATCGGTGGCGTAAACAACTTACCGTAATCACCATAATCAACGTGGGTTCGGATTGGACCGGTTCGGGTTAACCGGTTAATGGGTACAACTGGTACACAGTACCCAAGACCAGCAACCCTCAATACGCCCTCTCAATGCGAAGTCCCACGAATGCCGAGAGCCACCGTCAGATCCGTGTGGCGTGGTCCCGCAAGCGCCTTCGTCATGATGTCCGCTAGCATCACAGAAGTCTCGCAGTACTGGAGCTTGACTTCGCCGCGCTTGACTTCATCGCGGATGTGGTGGTACTTGATGTCGATGTGCTTGGCGCGACCGTGGTTCACTGGGTTCTTCGTCATCTTGATGCACGACTGGTTGTCTTCGCGGATCATGAGTTCGGGTCCAGTCTCATTAGCGGCCGCCAGAATCTCGCATAGCAGGCGATGAATCCACTTACCTTCTTGGATAGCCAGACTGAGCGCGATGTACTCCGCTTCGCTCGTGGACAGCGACACACTTGATTGCTTCTTGCTTCCCCAGCTCACAGGCGCACTCATGAGCATGAACGTGTAGCCTGAAGTGGACTTGCGGTCGGCGAGGTCCCCGGCCCAGTCCGCGTCCGAGTAGCCACGAAAGTCGATCTTGTCGCCCGGCTTGAAGCAGATCCCATGCGTCTTGGTGCCTTGCAGGTAGCGAAAGATACGCTTGACCGCAACCCAGTGTTCCTCTTGGGGGTTCTCCATGAAGCGCGATACATAGCCAACGGCGTACGCGATGTCTGGGCGCGTGGCGGTCATCAGGTGCATCAGAGCACCAACAGCTTCGCGAAACGGAGCGTTCACCTTGGTCGCCGCGTCGCTTGGAACCAGTCGAGTGCTCATGTCCACCGGACTCACCACGGCCTTGCACTCGTCCATGGCGAAGCGCTTCAGGATGTCGTCCACGTATCGCCGCTGGCACATGGTCACGCTGCCGTCCGGGCCGTCCACCAACTCGATCCCAAGAACAAACGCGCACTTGCCGCTGTCGGTCATCTCGAAGCGCGTCTTCAGGTCGGTCTTCGTGCGTGCGATCAGCTCGGGCGAACTCCCGGTAATCAGTACGTCATCCACGTACACCAGTACAAGCACGCAGTGACCGTCCACCACCTTGATGTAGAGGCACGGATCGAAGGCCGACACTTGGAAGCCGATGGAGCACACGAACTCGTCGAAGGTCTCGTTCCACACTCGCGAAGCTTGCTTGAGACCGTAGATGGCCTTCACCAGTTCCAGGCAGTCGAAGTCACCATCCAGTTCGACGCCTTCCGGAACCACGCAGAAGACCACCTCCTTCATTATCCCGTACAGGAATGCTGTCACCACGTCGAGTTGGTCGAGGGGCCAGCCAAAATACTTAGCAATCGCGATCACCATGCGCAGCGTCACATACTTGACCACGGGCGAGAACGTCTCGGTGTAGTCAATGCCGTACTTCTGCTTGAAGCCCTTGGCCACGAGGCGCGCCTTGTACTTCTCGATCGAGCCGTCCGCTTTGCGCTTGATCTTGAACACCCACTTGGTATCGATGGCGCGTTGTCCGTTAGGCAACTTGGCAGCTCGAAACACACCACGCAGTCGCATCGACTTGAGCTCCGCGCGGATCGCTTTGCGCCAGTGCACTTGATCAGGACCGTTCACAGCCTCTTGGGACGTCGTCGGCTCCGATAGATCGGCTGCTGCTTCCACAGCGTTGGCACTGGCACGCCAAAACACTGGAGGCGTCGAGTCGTCGTCTTCATCTTGGTCCCCAGACGTTTCTTCTTCGTCGGGGTCGGCTCGGCGCGAGGAGGATACGTCCGGCGCACTTGCTTCTTCTAAGCCAGCTCGGTGGCGAACGGGGCGCGATCTTCTGGCAGTGTTGTCGTCGCCACTCGGTCGGTACTTGCGCTTCCCCGCCTGCTGGAAGCTCGTTTGGCGCGGTCCATCGTTGTCGTCCAGGTCCAGCGCGTCCAAGTCCAGCACAGCATCATCGACGTCTTCATCCGAAGTATGCGTCGAAAGTCCAAAGGTCGACTCATCGAAGTTGACATCGCGACTGATAACCACCTGCCCCGCCTCGATGTCATAAACTCGATACGCCTTGGACACTTCTTCGTAGCCGAGGAACAGCCCGGCGCGAGCCTTGGGGTCCCACTTGCGCCGTCTTTCCTTCGGCGTCAGGATGTACGTCTGGCATCCGAACACACGCATGTGCTTCACACTCGGCTTGGACTTGTAAACGATCTCGAACGGAGTCTTGTGTTCGATCTTGAGTGATGGCAGACGATTCTTCACGTAGATGGCTGTCATGGCCGCCTCAGCCCAGAAGCTCTTGTCCAGCTTGGCGTGATGCAGCATGCTGCGGCCAATCGTGACGATGGTCCGGATGGCGCGTTCTGCCGTGCCGTTGGTCTGGTGCGCGTACGGAACCGTGGTTTGCTGCTCGATGCCTTCGACTTCGTAGAAGGCCTTGAGCGAGTTGGTCGCGAACTCACGGGCTCCATCGTGCCGCACAAACTTGACCTTCTTGCCGAACTGCGTCTGCACCTTCGTGACGTACATCTTGATGCAGTCCTCGCTCTCCGACTTGGCACGCAGGCAGAACCCCTTCATGCATCCGCTGGCTTCGT